CCGGGAGACGGGACCCCGCGCGGCTCTGTCTCCCCCTGCAAACCGCACGCACAGCTGCTGCTGGGTGCCCCGGTGTCCTCCTTCAGTTTTTGTCCCAGACTTGCCGGTCACTCCTGGTCTCTGTCCGCCTCTGGCCGATGTGGGGGGGGCGTTTCTCCCTGAGGAGCCGTCCTGGTCCTGGCCCTGGGCCTCCACTTCCTCAGACCCACCCCCCACCCCCACGCAGGCTCATCAGTGAGATAGACCACCGACTCAGAATTTAAATTTAAGAGCCTTCATTAAGCTGGCCAGCTGACCATAGTCCCAGCACTCTGCCAAAGCATTTTTCTGATTTTGGACCTGGGAGCCAGGCCTCTTGCACCCGCAAGCTAAAATCATTTCTCCCTTAGGCCCCAGCCCCTCAACACCCCCTGGAAAGCACTGGTCGCTTCCTGTGCCCGTGCGCTTCCTGCTCCCGGCATTTCAGGTAAACGGAGTCAGACAGCCGGGCCTTTGCGCCGCTGCTTCCCTCAGCTCCGTGTTCGTCCTCGCCGCCCGCAGCGTGTCAGCCCTGCACTCCTCTTGGCTGTCACCCACTCCCTGTGGGGACATAGTTCTGGTGCTGACACCTATTTTCTTCTTTGTAGTTTGTTTTAAAATAACTTCTCTAGTGTACTGGTGCCTAGTTCCAATAAGCAGAAGCCTGCTGCTCGAGTAGGCAGGTTTGGGTCTCCTGGCTGTGCACCTGGGGCTCGCAGCTCCGGTGTCAGTTCTGAGGAGCTGCCTGTGCCCGGGGCTCCCACCCCTGTGGGGCAGGGGGGCTGCCAGCCTCTTCCTGTCCTGGGGCGGGTGGCAGTCGGGATCACACTGCTGCCCGCCCTGCCCCACAGGACAGGCCCGGATCCCCCGCTGGGGCGGGTGGCGGCTTGGAATCATGCTGCCGCCCGCCCTGCCCCGCCCCCAGCAGGCCAGGATCTCCTGCTGGGGCGGCCAGCAGTTGGGGATTGTGCTGCTGCCAGCCCCAGGCTGGGTGGCGCAGTGGGATCTGCCTGCAATATGCAAATTATCCGCCACCTTTGTTGGCAGTTAATTTGCATATCATCCTGATTAGCCAATGGGAGGCGTAGGGACGGTATGGTCAATTACCACGTTTGTCTATTATTAGATAGGATACACACACAATTGATTTCAAAGAGAGAAAGGGAGAGGCAGATAGAAACATCGATGACAGAGAATCATTGATCGGCTGCCTCCTGCATGCCCCCTACTGGGGATCCAGCCTACAACTTGGGTATGTACCCTGACCAGTAATCAAACTGTGACTTCCTGGTTCCTGGGTCAATGCTCAACCACTGAGCCACACCGGCTGGATTCCACTAAATTTTAAAATGTTTCCCTTCAGCAGAGGGAGATTAGAGGGAGAGGGAAGACAATTTTTCTTTACACAACTCTATTATTGGACTTGTTATAACAAGCATGCAAAAATCTAAGTACAATTAGAAAGCAAAATGGTTATAACTATAGAAATATTTAGAAACACAGATAGTATCCATGGTTTGATGATACAAAATCATAATGCATGCTTCTAACTATATTCATTGATCTGCATGTGAGAGAGGACTGGATGGGAGGCCTGCATGGGAATATTCTATCATGAAAATAGTTGTTCAAGTTCATTCATTTTTTCCACAAATGTTTACTGAGTGCCTACT